CTACAAACATCCGCATCAGACGTAGTTCTAGACAAATAACTATCTACAAACATCCGCATCAGGCGTAGTTCTAGACAAATACCTACCTACAAACATCCGCATCAGACGTAGTTCTAGACAAATACCTACCTACAAACATCCGCATCAGACGTAGTTCTAGACAAATAACTATCTACAAACATCCGCATCAGACGTAGTTCTAGACAAATAACTACCAAAAAACATCCGCATCAGGCGTATTGACAAATAGCTACCTACAAACATCCGCATCAGGCGTAGTTCTAGACAAATAACTACCTACAGACATCCGGATCAGACGTAGTTCTAGACAAATAACTGTCTACAAACATTCGCATCAGACTTGGTTCTAGACAAAAAACTACCTACAGACATCCGCATCAGACGTAGTTCTAGACAAATAACTACCAAAAAACATCCGCATCAGGCGTATTGACAAATAGCTACCTCAAACATCCGCATCAGGCGTAGTTCTAGACAAATAAATACCTACAGACATCCGGATCAGACGTAGTTTTAGACAAATAACTATCTACAAACATCCGCATCAGACGTAGTTCTAGATTAATAACTACCTAGAAACACCCGCATCAGATGTATTTCTAGACAAATAACTATCTACAAACATCCGCATCAGACGTAGTTCTAGACAAATAACTACCTAGAAACATCCGCATCAGACGTGGTTCTAGACAAAAAACTACCTACAAACATCCCAATCAGACGTAGTTCTCGACAAATAACTATCTACAAACATCCGCATCAGACGTAGTTTTAGACAAATAACTATCTACAAACATCCGCATCACGCATCAGACGTAGTTCTAGACAAATACCTACCTACAAACATCCGTATCAGACGTAGTTTTAGACAAATAACTATCTACACACATCCGCATCAGACGTAGTTCTAGACAAAGAACTATCTACAAACATCCGCATCAGACGTAGGTCTAGACAAATAACTACCTACAAACAGCCGCATCAGACGTAGTTCTAGACAAATACCTATCAACAAACATCCCAATCAGACGTAGTTCGAGACAAATAACTACCTACAAACATCCGCATCAGACGTAGTTTTAGACAAAAAATATCTACAAACATCCGCATCAGACGTAGGTCTAGACAAATAACTACCTACAAACAGCCGCATCAGACGTAGTTCTAGACAAATAACTTCCTAGAAACATCCGCATCAGACGTGGTTCTGGACAAAAAACTACCTACAAACATCCCAACCAGACGTAGTTCTAGACAAATACCTATCTATAAACATCCGCATCAGACGTAGTTCTAGACAAATAACTCCCTAGAAACATCCGCATCAGACGTGGTTCTGGACAAAAAACTACCTACAAACATCCCAATTAGTCTTAGTTCTCGACAAATAACTATCTACAAACATCCGCATCACGCATCAGACGTAGTTCTAGACAAATACCTACCTACAAACATCCGTATCAGACGTAGTTTTAGACAAATAACTATCTACAAACACCCGCATCAGACGTAGTTCTAGACAAAGAACTATCTACAAACATCCGCATCAGACATAGTTCTAGACAAATGACTATCTACAAACATCCGCATCAGACGTGGTTCTAGACAAAAAACTTCCTACAAACATCCCAATCAGACGTAGTTATAGACAAATAACTGTCTACAAACATCCGCATCAGACGGAGTTCTCGACAAAT